ATGGGATAAAAAATCCAGGAGGGCCATTGGAGGCAACAGAGACAGAGACCCCTACTCCCACCCCCGCAAGGTGAAATCTCTCCCATGGATTGCCGGGAAGCCTCCAAGCCCTTGCTCTGCACTAACACACACACACACACACACACACACACACACACACACACACACACTACAAATAGGCTTGCCCTGTATGGACCATGGAGTGACTTACCTCCACTCTGCACTATTCCCTACGGTAAGTACATAAGGATCCATTCCTCCTTTGTTTCTTTTTTTTTTTTTAATGTTTATTCAGTTTTGAGAGACAGAGAGCAAGCAACGGTGGGGCAGAGAGAGGGAGACAGAATCCAAAGCAGGCTCCAGGCTCCTAGCTGTCATCACAGAGCCTGACGTGGGGCTCAAATTCACGAGCTGTGAGATCATGACCTGAGCCGAAGTCAGACGCTTAACCGACTGAGCCACTCAGGCGCCCCTTCTTTGTTTCTTTTAAATTTTTTTTTCAAGTTTATTTATTTTCAGAGAGAGAGGGAGGGAGGGGCAGTGAGAGGGGGAAAGAGAGAATCCCAAGCAGGCTCCACCGTCAGCCTGATGTGGGGCTTGAACTCATGAACCGTAAGATCATGACCTGAGCCGAGATCAAGAGTCAAACGCTTAACCGACTGAGCTGCCCAGGCGCTCCCACCTCCCATCTCTCCTTTGGCTGAGTGCCTTAGCACTGGCTCAGATGGCTGGAATTTTCTTCCCAGCTGCCCAGGTTCTCTCCACGGTCACAGCCTCCCTTAGGCAGGGGCCAGACCCAGTGCACTGGTAATCGAAGCACTCACTGGATGACCTAAGAGACTAGCTTCTGTAGGCAGCATTTCCCACTGACGGCACCTAAAAGGATTTTAGAGCAGTGCCTGGCTCAGTAAATACATGTGGAAGGAATCTAAGGCAGTCCTTGGAAACACGTTGTTCTTTCAATTTTAGAGATTAAGAATTAATTGAATATGTGTCAGGGAAAAAATCCTCAGGACATCAAACCAGTGGTTCAAGGATTTTTAAATTTTCCTTGAACACACGTTTTATCTAAGTTTGATAAAATGAACGTATTTAAAGAGAAATATTAAGGCAATCGTAGCACAGGAGGAACATGGGGATGGCCAGACTCCCACGTGTGGAAAGTGCCTGAGTGAGGGCCAGGCCAGGCTGTGTGCAGCCAGGAGCGGGAGGCTGGTTTCTGGGTGCTCCTGGCTCCTAGCTCTCGAAAGGGCAGGGGGAGGGGAAGGACCCTGGGAGCAGCAGGTGTAAACAGCTTCAGTGCCCGGCTGTGAGTGACCTGAGTGGAAGGAAGATCGCTTATGGTTTTGCTTGTCACCTGCGCATTCCATGCACCAACACAAGTGGCACCAGAGGCCACGGAGGCAGAGCTGCGAGGCGTCCCCTGGGCTACAGTGGGTTATGATGAGAATCAACAGTTGGGGCAAGAACTTCCACCCTTGGGGTCTGCTTCCGCAAAGGCAATGAAAGGCCTGGACCAAACTGGCAAACTCGAGCTCCATTGCGAGGGCACCGGGGCGTCCCTGAGGGTTTTTTGGGTTTTTTTTCATCACAGAGTGACATCTAGGAGTAAAGACCACCTGAAGCATAAAGTAATCAGGGCCTAGTAAAGGAACTGCAGCCATGCTGGCAATTTCTTTTGGTCTTTGGCCAATGCCAGCCATGTTCTCTGGGAATCAGGGTGAAACTGAAGAAGGGACCTGGGGTGGACATGAAGGGGATTCGCTAGGTCAACAAGAAGTGCCCAGGGAAAGAGTCACATATCACAGACGTCAGAGATCTCCAAGGAGAGATTCTAAAACACTAGTTTTGGGGCACTTGGGTGGTTCAGTCCATTGAACGTCTGACTCTTGATTTTAGCTCAGGGTATGATCTCATGGTCGTGGGATGGAGCCTCACATCTGACTCAGTGCTGAGCGCACAGCCTGCTTGAAACTCTCTCTGCCTCTCCTTCTGAACCTCCCCTGCTTGCACCCAGTCTCTCTCTGTCTCTCAAAAAAAAAAAAATAATAATAATAGGGGCACCTGGGTGGCTCAGTCGGTTAAGCGTCCGACTTTGGCTCAGGTCATGATCTCATGATTCATGAGTTTGAGCCCATGTCTGGCTCTGTGCTGACAGCTGAGAGCCTAGGGCCTGTTTCGGATTCTGTGTCTCCCTCTCTCTCTATGCCTCCCCTGTTCGAGCTCTGTCTCTGTCTCTCAAAAATAAAATAAAAGTACTAGGTTTGTGGTGGAGAAAGAACAGGTGGGCACCTTTCCTCCATTTCTCCACTTGGGAGAGTCAAGCACAACTCACAGGGCCTGTTAAGTTTGCAGCTGGGGGTTCTGAGTCCATCTCTGCCCCCTCACACACCTACCCCTCTTCCTCCCTCCCTGTCTCCCTCTGGCATGGCAGAGAGAAGACAGCCAGAACCTTGGGATTACTGCTTTTCAAAGGTGGAGGCCAGATACTTATCTACAGGATGATCCCAACCATGTTTTGAAAAATGGATGAATATACAGGAAGAAAATGTAAAAATGTTAACTCACAGTGGTTCCTTCCAGACGGAAGGAAATCAATAATTTTCTTTTCCTTAAAGAGTTGCAAGGAGAAATGCCACCAAGCTGAGACCTCCCAGCAGCCATATGCCCCCAAACTAGCTGAGCTCAGACCAGGCCACAACAAAGCCTCCCAGGAAGACGGCACTGGCACATGAAGCTAGCTCTGCCCAGGTGACCACGTCAAGGTGAAAGAAAGCTCCATGTTGGTATTTAACTGAAAATCAAGCCAAGGCGGAAATCAGCATAAACAAGCCTTTTAGAAAAGGGGAGCGAGCCTGGAGCAGGGCCCAGGTTTTATTGATAGAAGGCTAGGTCCTGCCCTGGCTGTGCTGAAGCATGCAGCCGGGCCTGTCCAAGGCAAACATAACAGCCGACCCAGCCGGCCGGGAGCAAGCCCCACTCCAGACTGTTTGCTGGCTGGGGGGCCGTTCAGCACCCACATGGGACCCTTGGACCCTTCTGTGTGGTTCTGTGTGGCTCCTTCTCTATTTTACTGGTGGATGTACTCTAGACATTGGTGGATGAGTCTAGACTCAGCCTTGATGCAGTTTGCCACATGGTTCTGAGGTTGACTCCTCTTTCCAGCAGAGGAAAGAGGGGGCCACTCTGCTTCCGAATACTCAGACTTGGAAGCCCCTGTTTGCTGTTGACGCCCTGAGGGGGAGACAAGATACACAGCGAACTCCAGGGCCTGCCCACCACACTTGGGAGCTAGCTAAACTGTTCCAGGGAAGGGTTTCTAGACCTCCCCTGGGCCAGATAATTCTTTGCTGTGGGGGCCTGTCTTGTGTAATGTAGGGTGTTTAGCAGCATCCCTGGCTTCTCCCCCTAGATGCCAGTAGCATCACCCCAGTTGGGACAACCAAAAATATCTCCAGAAACTGCCATTTCTAGGGAATGCTGCTGCAGGGTGTGCTCTGTAACCCCCCTCCTCCATCTCATAAGGAAAACCTTAGGCAAAATTCTGCATCGTTTGGCAGGGTTTTGGAGGTCTGACTTGCCCCTCCTTCCTCCTCACCCCTCGTGGGGCATCAAGGCCTGGTTACATTCGGGCCGCACTAGAAACAGTTCCTATTCCAAAATGTGTGGAGGATGTACAGAATTTTTGTAAACATGTACCTTAGAACCCATTCGGTCTCGTTCTTATAGAAACATACATCATGTTTGCTTTCTAGCAATGCTTTCCCAATGGGAGAGAAGGGGTGGGGGAACAGCAGGAAGGCTGGTAACACCCACAGGCAGATCAGGTGACTAATCATGGCCAGAAAATGCCTGTGGATGGCTAGTCTCGGAGCTGGGGCCCACTTGGGATTCCCCCGGGGCCACTAGTGTTCTCTCCAGGAAGTAACCAGTCATTCGGCACCTGTGTTGTCTCTCACAGCACCCTGGGCTTATTTGTTTGAAATCTCACTCCCCTCCTCTACCGCAAGCACAGGGAGGGCAGACACCGTGTCTGTTTGCTTCATCACTAAGTCCTTGGCATTCCTGGGCCTGGCACATGGTCAACCCTAAAAACCTATTTCTTAAATGAACAGATGAACGATATCTGGGAACACTCCATACTTCCTTGACCAGCAACTCATACATTAAGGATCAGATCAAACGTCCCTGATGTCTCCCAACAGAAACAATTGCTTTGCATTCTCAAAACACTTGATTCGTGCTTCTTTTATTGCAACATGCATCACAGTACATACTCTTGGGTTGTATTCTGTGTCCCCTGCCAGAATGTAAGGTCTCTGGGGACAAGCACTGTGAAGCACTATTTATTATCCCCACTCTCACCAGTGGTTGGCACACAATGGATACTCAATGAGGGCTCGTTCAATGCAAGAACCAAAAAATCTTGTCCTGTCTCCATTCCAAATCCTAGACATCAAAGTTTGGATGCATCCTGACTCAAGAGCCTTGGCTAAACCCATGAACCAGAGGCTGCTTTGGACATCGATTTCCTGGTTCTTGAACACAAAGCAAGAATATCCGCCCAGCCCTTCTAAAGTTATATCTAGGTTAGCAGGCTGACCACAGGGAGGATGATATCCTGGAGGAGCTTCAGCCCCAAAATCCCCACTGCCCCAGGGCTATGAGGCTTCAAACGACCTTCAGGAGCCTTCTCTCCTTCCTGCCCTCATCTATACCCACACCTCTAGCTTGAAGCCCTCGGCCAAAGCAGGCTCTGTGCTTGGAGAGCACTGAAGAGCACTTCTGAGTGTCTACACAGTTCTCTGTGTCACTGTTCCTGTTCCATCATCCCAGGCCCTTGGAAAGGGGTGTGTCTGGCCAGGAGGAGACCCCAACATCCAGCACGCGTGCGGTATTCATGCCACCTCCTGCTGACCAGAGCTCCCGGGCAAAGAAAGTGGAGTCTAGGACACCAGAGGAAGCTGTTCCCAGCCCGGTCCCTGAGCTTTGCTGCCTACCTGGCTGAAGACTGGAGTGAGGGTGCTTTCTGGAGAGGGTCTGTCCTGGGATGGGCCTCCCTGCTGACTGCAGTCCAGCTGGATCAGATGGCGGCACTCCGGGTGGCAGGTGAATTTACAGTCTGGAGGGAAAGAAGCACCAGGGAATTAGGAGTCAGGCAGGATTCTATCCACTTCCACCCGGAGAAATACCCTGGGAGATGGCGTTTCGCTCCAGGAAGGAAAACCGTGAAGGAGAGAAGTGGAGCGTGGGAGGACACCTCGGTGCCACAGGGAATGGCTGGTGACGGGTAATGCGTGTTTTACGCGTTTGCAAACTGTTCTCACCACCGTTATTTTGTGTGACCTTGCAATCATTATTATTGCCACTTTACAGACAGGAAATTGGGATCTAGGGACCTTAGTGACTTTCTCAAGGTCAAGTCATCTGACTTCAGGCTGGTGCTCTTTCTACTGATTGACATCAATCACCAGGGGTCACAGATCCCTGGAGAAAGACTTCACTTTTCTGGGCCTCATTTTGCCAGCCTGTAGGATACAGGTAATAGCTTCCCTGCCTGGTGCACAAGGAAGTTCATAGTCATAGGGGAGAACAGGTCTTAACAAATTAAAAGTGCCTCCAGGGACAAAGGCATTATCCTCAACAGGAAGGACTGTTACCTGTCTCTGACCCTGCCCCAACCAGAAATGAGGAGGCGGCTTCTCTAACCCAGCTTAAAAGGCCCGCAGACAACATCCCAAATCAGGTGCTTCATGGGAAAGCATATGT